ATAAAATAAGTTTAAATTAAATCATTTAATAACTAAATTATTTAATAATTAAATTATTAAAATTATTTTTTTGTGTTTTTTTTTAAATTAATATTTTAAAGGTTTTCAAAGAACGTTCAACACGTAAAGCATTTGTGCTTGATCCGGTTAAAATGGCTGTATCACCGGATGGAAGATTTGTCTTTACAATTGGTAGCCGAAAAGTTAGTTAATATTAAAAAAAAAGAATTTTTTAAAAGAAAGAATTAAATTATAAAATATTTAAAATGAAAAAAAAATTAAAATATATTCAAATTTTAATTTTTATAATCATTCTAATAAACATTAATAGTTAAAAATGATAAGAAAAAAAAAAGTTTTATTGTAATAAATTCTTGCAAAAATTTATGATTAAAATTGTTATCAAAAATTTAAAAAAAAAAAAAATCAATTTAATAACATATAGTTTTCATTGATATTAAATTTTTGCTAACATTTAATATTTAATATTTTAAATTAATAATTTTATTCATTGTACTATAACAGTGTAAAGTAACAATTAATTATCAATTATTAATGATAAAATTAATTAATTTGTTGTAAAAATTACTAATATTAATTAATTTATTTTTAAAAAATTAAACTTTTATATACTATTTAAAAAAAAGAAGAAAAACGATAATTAAAATTTTAATTTTTAATTGTAAAAATTAATTTATATCAGATAATGGTAATATCGGAACGTAATCCAATGGAATGGTTGACATCATTTAAAATTGATGTTTTTAATTTAAATTTGGAAAAACGTCAAAGTTTAAATTTGAATGATTTATTTGATTTTGGTGATTATCTTATACATACATATGCAATTGATAATAATACTTTAATTATTTTGGATTATAATCATCGACAAACAACGCTGCGACAACGAATTGTTAAAGTAGAATAATTTTGATTTTTTTTTTTTTAAATTAATTCATTAATTAATTACTATCATTTCAATTCCATTAATTTTTTTTTTTTGTATTTTTTTTCTTGAACATAAATAAATTACTGTTTTTTAATATGTGGAATAGTTTTCTTTTTTTTATAATATAATTAATAGCATTATTATTATTAATTAATGTATAAAATATTTTTAATGTGAAATTTTTATTCGCATAAAAATATGAAAAATAGAAAATAAAAATAAATAAATGAATAAAATAAATTAATTTATTAATTGATCAACAATATTATTAATTGATAATAGCGATATTTATAGCAATAGTAATAATAATAATAATAATAATAATAATAATAATAATAAGTAGTAGTGATAATGATAATAATAATAATAATAATAATAATAATAATAATAATAATAATAATAATAATAATAATAATAGTAACAATAACAATAATTAATAATAAGTAATAACAATAACTTTTATAGCAATAAAAACAAAAATAACAGTAATAACGACAAAAACAATAATAATAATAATAATAACAGTAACAATAATAATAATTAATAATAATGATAATAATTAATAATAAGTAATAACAATAACTTTTATAGCAATAAAAACAAAAATAACATTAATAACGACAATAGTAATAATAATAATAATAATAATAATAATAATAACAGTAACAATAATAATAATGATAATAATTAATAATAAGTAATAACAATAACTTTTATGGCAATAAAAACAAAAATAACATTAATAACGACAATAATAATAATAATAGCAGTAGCAATGATAATAATAACTAATAATAATGATGATAATTAATAACAATAATAATAATAATAATAATAATAATAATAATAATAATAATAATAATAGATTACTCGAAACATAGCAATTTCACCATTCCATCGATGCTATCACTATGGCACCTCACAAACATCATTCATTAAAGCAGCAGTTGGTGACAAATTATGCGCTATTGTTAGTAAACAACGTTTTGGTATAAAATATTTTTTAAATTATCAAAATTATAATATTAATTAAAATTAATAAATAAAAATTAAAAATTAAACAAAATAAGAACTATTGGTTGTAAATAAACGAAAATAATTCATTTCATTTAAAAAATAATCAAATTTCGAAACAAATTATTATTATTGACACTCTTAATTGATTAATCGGTTAATTAATTAATTAATTAATTAATCTATGCTAAACTATGTCATTTATAGAAGGACAATTTGTTGCATTAATTATACCAAAAAATCCATTTGAATTGGATGAATTCAATCAACCAATTAATGTTTCTGTACATGTTAATAATGTAAATGAAATTTCATTGTTTTTTTTTTTTAAATTATATTCCAAAAAAAATTGATGTAAATATTTATGTTTGAATATTACTTACTACTCTTTGAAATATTTAATTAATATCAACAATAATTAATGTTAATAAAATTTTCTTATGATAATATAACTTTTTAAATCTTAAAATAATAAGTAAAATAAATAAACAAAAGGCAATATTTTAATGAATTTTTTCTGTTTTTTTTTCGAAATAATTATATGTGTTTTTTTAAAAAATTAATTAACACAACTAATTTCCTTTTTTTTTTAAATTTAAAATTTAAAATTTTTAGATGAATACAGCACTTCATGCAACATTATCATTAAATATTTGTCATTATATAGCACCATTTTTTTCACGTAATGATCATGAATTATGCTTTTTAACTGTGAATAGTTTGACTTTAAATATTGAACCAACAAATGTTAGCTGTTTAAATTTAAGGTAAAAAAAAAATTTTCTTTTTCGTTCATAAAAAAAAAAAAAATTATTTTCTGTAAAAAATAATTTTATTATTTGTAAAAATAATTAGCTAAAAAAAAAAAATAAAAATAATGAAAAAAAGAAAAAAAAATTTGTTTGCTAATAAAAATAATTCGATAAAAATTTGATTTCTTTAATGAATGAATTAATTTATTTTTCTTTTTTCTTTTTTTTTTTCACAATTTGAAATTACAATAAAAAAAAAAACAAAAATTTTGATATTATATCAAAAGAAAATAGAACAAACAAACAAAAAAGAATATTAATGAGCAAAAAGGAAAAAAAAACTTTTTTATTTTTTTTTTAAAAAAATATAAATTAATTAAATTTTATAATTATTAATTTGCAGTAATTATAAATGGTATTTACGTGATACAATCGTCGATGAAATTAGTGGCTTTCCATGCGATGAATATCAACAAACACCAATTCTTGTTGATTGTTTTATTTGTCAAAATGGCAATCAACAGGTGTTTGTAATTAAATGCTAAGATTGGAATAAAAATTAATTCAAAAAATTTATAATCAACTTTATATTGCTAATTAATTATTATACAATGCTAAAATTAGAATAAAAATTAATTCAAAAAATTTATAATTAATTGTACATTACTAATTAATTGTTATATAACGCTAAAATTAGAATGAAAATTAATTCAAAAAATTTATAATTAATTGTACATTAGTAATTAATTATTATATAATGCTAAAATTAGAATGAAAATTAATTCAAAAAATTTATAATCAATTTTATATTGCTAATTAATTGTTATATAATGCTAAAATTAGAATAAAAATTAATTCAAAAAATTTACAAACAATTTTATATTATCATTTAATAATTGTAATAATAATGAAAAATAATTTAGATTGGTTTAATTGCACGATATCGTACACCACCAAATAATTGGCGTTGGCATATTTGTTCCATACTTCAATGGATGCAAATGCGCTTTGTACGATTATTTTTTTTAAGTATGGATTTAGAAGTGGAAACATTTGGAAGGATAATTTTATATTTTACAACATTTCTTAGCTATATTAGAGATCGTTTAGTATTACGACCATATGCTAGGTAAGTGATAAAATATTTGCATAAATGAATACTTTTTATTATTTTTAATAATCAATTAATTTGATATATATATATATATTTTTTTTTTCATTTACTCAATTGCTTTTTTCTAACTTTAATAGCACTATGTATAGCTTTCAAAATTTTAATAAATAAAACTATATAAACTTAAATGTGTATTACAAATTACTGACAACTTCTGATTTTAAATCATTAATCAATTTCTCTTAGAAAGAAAAAAAAAAAAAAACTCTTTTTTTCTTTCCCTATTATATGTTATTCAGATTGGGAATTTTAAATTTAAAATCCTGGAAATGGATTGATTATTCTCATATGTTGAAAGATATTCATTATGTTGATCAGTTAACAGATTTAGCATCAGAAAGTGGACAAATTATTTCATTCATTTCACAGGTAAATAAATCATCGATGACAATTCATAAATAATTAGAGTGAAGCAATAATAATTTAATGTTTCATTTTATCATTTCTTTCAAATGAAGAGAAAAAAAAACACCAATCATTTTGCTATTTTTTGCTATAATGATTATCAGGAAATTATCGAAAAAAAAAAAAAAAAATAATTTAAAGCCTTCCCAGGAAGATTAACAAGTGATAAATAAATGGCTTATTTAATTCAAATTCTTATAGACATGGGCTGAGAATGAATGTGAACAAAGTATACGTCTCGGGAAATCTCCTGTATCTATGATGTCACTATTTGCAATTGCTGATTTCGAGCTTCAACGTCAAAGAATTCCCAACTTATGCAATCTTCGTCGCCAATTCTTGAAACATGTGAAAAATACCTGATTTATCGGTCGTCGATATGATAATATTCAATTCCCGACGAATGTAATGAGAAATAAACCGTACCAAACACACTAGTTTTAGTTTAAGAAGTCTGAATAATTTGAGCTACAGCCACTATATTGTCCTCATTTTTATTATTTATATACTCAAAAATAAAAACTGGACATTCCCTCTAGCAGAAATGTAGCTTCATTAAATTTCATATTCTTTAAACTGCCTTTTACTATAAGACATTGTTCATGGGAAGCTTGACAACTTGTAATCAGGAAAATATTTATTTTAAGGTCGCGTAGAATGACAATAATAAAATGATAACAAACAAAAGTGTTTTTTATGAAGTCATCTATTCCTCTCCATCACTAACTTCATCTTCACCACTGACGCCTTTCTTTGCATTACGCCTTTTCACTCGTCCTGCACGGCCACCGCCGAAAGGTGATTTTAATGAGAAGTCAATGTGCTTTTGTGAATCCAAGCGAACAATAAACGATGGTACATTCACAATTTGACGTCGAACGCTAAACGAGATATTTTAATAATCAAAATCATGATTACAATGAGACAAATCTTCTACTGAACATCGCTAATCCTTTGCAAGGAGATGAGACTTACATATATACTATTCCATTCTCATAACCACACCAAAAACTTTCTAAATTTAAAGATTGCTAAGAGTCTTAACAACTATAGTTTGTAATAATTATATCAAAAAAATTATTACAATAAAACACCAAATGATCCTCAATAGCTTCATACTCATAAAAGTTTTAAGCAGATGAAAGAATACAAATGCAAAGGAAAGATCAGATAACATACCGAATATGCTTTTGCCTGATCAAAACACGAGCATGATGAATCGATTTAGCTAAACCGAGTTTGAAAACTTGAGTTTGCAAACGACGCTCTAAGAAATCCTCAACTCGTAAACCCAAAACATAATCGAGCTTCATGCGATCTTCGCTTAATACACCAATTCGAACAAGTCGTCGTAACAATGCATTACCTTCAAACAAACGTCTTGGATCCTGAAAAAATGTCATCGATAAGTCAAAAAAAACAAGATAAGAATTTATAAAAATGACCTGGCCACTTTTCCAGAACTATTTTAATATCGTTTACATTGTTATTGCATTTAAAATGACAATATGAACGACCGAAACCAAGTGATGATCTTTATCATCGAAAAAACTAAATCTATTTAACCCTTAAGAACATAAGTGATTTATTGTAAAGTTCTACTACAGCGAAAAATAACTCTTTACATTAGAACAGAACTTCACAGTCAACTGAAAAATTCCATTACATCAATTCTTCAAACAAACCTTCTCCTCAAGCGTAAGCAATGTCCGAGCAGCTTTTCTAATTTTTGCTAGTGTGTACTTCACACGCCACACTTCGCGCTTATTACGTAAACCGAACTCTCCAATTAGTTTCAATTCCTGAATATAGTAAATGATTGTGCAAAACTAATTCAGGACGAATATTTTCCATATAAACTATGCAACAAAGAACAAATAATTAGCCAATACGCGTACTTTACTCTTAAACATTATACTAAGACTTCTTGAAATAAATGCACAGACCTGATCAAGACGTTCCTTCTCGAATGGACGTCGCGGACTTTTATACACCTTTGACATAACATTCTTTACACGCGGCATTGTGTCCTACCTTTATCAAATTGCTTTCGCTGAGTTAAAATCACACTTCAGCAATCGCTCTAAATCACCCCTATATCAATGAGTGACAAGTACCAGTAACAATTACAACAAATCGCAAAAACATTTAAGCTAAATCTTTTCTAACAAAAAATGCTCTACAACTTGAGATATCTCAAACATTTTACATTCACATATCTCAAACTAATAATCAACCTTATTTCGCTTCTTACAAAGCACAGCTTTCTGTGAACTACGAACAACACAAAAGTTCACGTACGTGAGTCACGCGTACGCACATATACAAAAAAAGCACACGTACACCCACAACACACCCCGACACTACGTAAAAGGCCTACGAATGCCAAAATAGAGTAGCACGTAATCAAGGAATCGTTTCAAAAATCATAACCAAAAATTGCAGCTCAAAATTGCATATTAGGCACAATCTCGTATTGCAGGAGATAGCTGATATGATTATAATTAAGAATTTTGATTTCAGTGTTGTGCTGCTCACTTTAAACACATTTGTGCTTGTCAATTAAAACTTGATAAAACTATATTTTGTACTTAAGAATTGAAATCTGGAATTTTTAGATTTCAATTTCACTAAATAATTTAATGGAATTTGTGGACTTAAAATGTGCAAATATTTCCTTACACTTTATAATGTATTTTATATGACACAAAAAAAATCTATCGTATGTATTTGCTTTATAATATACTTTGCAAATACAAGTGATTTTTTTTTCCTTCTTATCAAAATTACTAATAAATTTTTCAGATTTCAATTTCATTCAATAATTTAATGCAATTTGTAAATTTAAATTTCAAAACATTTCCTTATGTATCTGTTTTATAACAAATGTATTTCTTTATATTTTATAATATAAATATGTGTAAGTAAAAATTAAATATATGTAAATGATACGAAGTAATATGAATTTTGTCCTTTTTCATTAAATTATTAACACGAGATGGTTGTATTAGCATTTCAGTTATTACTATTATTCATTGCTACAATTTATGCTAAATTATCCATTAATAATAGTAATAATATTCGAAAGATTACATCAGAAATTAATGTGATTGATAATATTCAAAAGATATCAATTGTTACATCTAAGGAAATAATCAATACTACAGGTATGTTACCTTCTTCTTTAATGATAACATTAATAGTAATATTGGGAGGGAGAGAGAGAGAGAGAGAGATTCTAATTTTTTATCTTTTCACTAAAAAAAATCAGGAAAATGCAAGTTTTCTAATTTGCCTAATTTGAAGTCAAAAATGATCTGAAAAAAAAAGAATATATTACTAATTTTTTTCTATTTGTAAAAAGTTTTTGTTAAAAATAAACTATCAGTGTTGACATAGCATATTATATTGAAAGTCTACAAATAGTTAATTAATCAAATTGTTACATTCTTCAAAAAAAAAAAAATGAAAATCAAATTAAATCATTCATATAAGATAAATTTTTGATTAACTATTTTTTGGCTTCCAATATAATATTATCAATGAAAATGATAGATAATCATGTATAGATCATATCGATAGTGATAGAACTGAAATATCATCACAATCATATCATCGATCACTGAATGTGATACGCTGGAAAATAAATATGTTCTGGACAATTGTTACTATAATTTCAATTTTATGGATAATAATTTTAATTAGCATAATTGTTATTGTTTATATACGAATTGTATATATGCATCATACTATTTCACAGATATTTTGTCCAAAAGAATGATAATTTTTTATTTAAAATTTTTTTATTTATTTTTCAATAAAAATTTCCACTATTTATTGAAAAAAGAAAATGCAAAAAATTATTGTAAAATACAGAGTGAAATGTTTTGAATAATTTTAAATAAAAAAAATTTACTTTATAACTATTAAAAAAATTATACGTTATTATTATGATTTAAATCCTTTTTCTTTTTTACTTTCATTTCTAATTATTTAATTAAAATGGAGCAATGAATTTGATGTATTCATTACGTTAGTTATATTGTGCTTTACAATACTTAGAAAAATAATATCATTTTTTACATTTTCAATTTACTCTTATCAATTCAAAATATATCACTGAAATAATAATAACATTTCATACATACATAAATAATAGATTTACTTATAATTTTATTGGCATAAGTATAAACAAATTATAATTACAAATAAGTAAATTACATAAAAATTATTATGAATTTTTAAAACGATATGTTTCTTTTATGATATCATTTTTAAATAAATTTTTGAATAATACTTTTACATCATTGTTAATTTTATTCTATGAATGAATAAAAACTTAAAAACTTTAAAAACAAAAAATACTTCGGACTGTAACAAGCAGTAAAATACCGGAAAGATGAAAGACATACATGTAGTCAGTATACAACAAATCACCGATAACTTTCACGTTATTGGCGGTATTGTCTCTAATAAGTTTAACATTTTTAGCAGTACTAAGATCTTCAAGAGTTGATAACATTCAACGGATTTCAATAAATTGTTTTTTTTTTTGAATTCTAGATAGATATATGCTTTGTTAACATGTTCAGTTCAAAATCCGAAAGTAAGTTCATGCTTTCTATTGGAGAGGAATTTTGGTGTGCTAACGTTTCTACTTTTATTCCACACTTTTTTTTTTCGTCAGGGAAGAAAATATACCCTTGCTTGTTGAATATCATTTCGTGCAAAACTGTTTTTGAAATCTTAATATCCTAATCTAAATGAAATAAGAAGTAGCCACAAGCTAAAAATAAAGTCATATGCTTACTTATTGTAAGTATATTTACTAATAAAAAATAAATCTTAAACTATAAGGCTAATGATGTTAACTATTAACAACTCAGAAGATAAGGGATCTTATAACCAAAAGTATTAAAAAGGGTAGCTTTATCACTTTTGATGATATAAATGATAAACTGTCAGACGAAACCCGGTAAAGAATTTATTTACAAGATATGAGCTCCGTAAAGCTTTTATCAAGGACAGATGAAATTGTAATCTGACAAGCATAACATGTCGAGTGCAATCATTGAAATATCAGTAAGACTAAAAATGATAAAAGCATGATGGGATGATTTGAGTAGTGGATCTCTGTTACTGAGAGAAATTACACATCTAGATGCAGTTTATAACTTCATCCAAAGAAGAGAGTGAAGAAAGTATTGAAGATGATAAAGATTTTGAGAATGTTTCTGAAGACATCAAAGATGACAAATATTGTAACGATGATGGGATAGTTAGTAAAGAAGATAACGATGAGAAAGAAAGTAGTAATAAAGATATAAATTCAGCAAATTTAAATGCTTCTATTTTTAAAATGGAAAACGACTTATTGTCCTAGTTCGTAGTTGCACTAAATGAGATAAATATTTTTAGCAGATGAAGCATTGACATTAGGAAAAAATCCCTCTAGTTAAAAAATTAAAAAAATAAAATTAAAATATCAAAAATTAAAAAAAAAATTAAAAAAAAAAATTTAAAAAATATTAAATTTATATGATCAAATAGATCTATAGTGCTACAAACTAAGTTAAGTGACACTGCTGTTGCCAAAATTACACATAGGTCTATCATGCTTGAAGAAGCTAATTGTATTTCTGAAATTAAAAAATACAATATATATTGATAGAAAGAACTTTCTCAAAGTTTATGCTAATGTACTTCTAAGATACAAGTTAGGAGAAATTAGTTCTTTAAAATCCAATAAAAATCAATCTTGTTTTAATTAAAAACAAGTTTGTAAAGTTTGTAGACATTTTGAATATATAGCTGATACCTTGAACAATATTAAGCAACAAGACAAGAGAACACAAAAACATGAACGAGAATCCGAAGCAAAGTAAGGAATAATTAAAGCCAATTTGAGATTAGTGGTTTACATAGCTAAAAAGTATTCAAACAGAGGTCTCACTCTGCTTGATTTGGTACAAGAAGATAATAATGATAAGGAGATACCTATAAAAATAGATGTACCTCTTATAACCGTAGTAATGATAGGTACCTCTTATAATCGTAGTAATGATAGGTACCTCTTATAACCTCTTATAATCGTAGTAATGATAGGTACCTCTTATAATCGTAGTAATGGATAGGTAATAATTTTTTCTCCTCTTACTCCCACAAAGAAATGTGATCACTGTTAATACTAAGCTAAGGGCAAGCTTTTACGTTTCATATCCGGCACCACAACCAACACCAGCACCAAAACCAGGACCAAGGTGGTGCAGCTTAAGCATGTACATATAACCAACAGTAACCTTACGGTCAAATTTCTCTCATTCACTAAATTTGCTAGGTCACCTCCCCCCCCCACCTCGAAAAAACCAACCAGGTGTAAAACTATTTTATCGTTTTCCACCTTAATTTTACATCATTAGTATATATATAAACTGAAGTTTACTTATATTCACTTCATACTAGGAACAAAAAGAAAAAGGAAACGACCTCCTATAATCACTCAAAGATTGCAGCGTACGCTGCAAGCCAATTGCGTAGGATCGTGCAATGTTGAAATGTACTGGATTGTAACATACTGATATTAACCGGTTTGAATGTTTGGGAAAAATTTATTGAAGAGAAATGTTTGCGTGCTGTTAATATGGAAGTTTACATTTTTACTTCTCGTTTCATCCTAATTTTAGGATAGGATGACGTGATTAATTGGCGTATTCACGTGATTAAATAGTGCAGTCACGTGATCTTTTTTTCAGGTACAATGTCATTTTTTATCAGAAATCGATCCAATCATGGTAATGATACAAACATTAAAAATAAGGTAATTTGTTTGAAAAAAATTTTTTTCATTTACAACAAAGATTAATCTAATTCTAATTTCATGCATAATTTTCATGCCACTTTATGTTTGTTAAATATAGTTGTTAGGAACATATGAAAATAATTAATTGTTTAAATTAGATGTAACATTTATTTTATAATGCACAAATCTTATTTTTATATTATATCAATTTTTTATTAAGTTTTCACAAAAATGAAAAGGATATAGAAAAGGAACCACATTATGAATTTTACCCATTATTCAGTATTTACCTTTTATTAACAAAATAATATTATTGATTTAGTTGAAACGAAAGTTAGCTGTACCAAAGTTATCAAAACGAAAGGCAAAATTTGTAAATGAGGATATTTCTTCCGATGAGGAAGATTTATTGTACGATAATGATGGCAAATTTGTTGATAACGAAAGTGAGGAGGAAAGATATGAAGACGTACAGGAGGTAGCATATCGGAAAGCAAAACAGCTTTTGGATGATCTTCAGGTATTTTATTTATTTTTCTTTAAAAGAGTTTTTAGTCTGCAAATATATAAAATGTGTTATATATAAACAAAATTAAATGCAGTCTTGTTGTAAAATCTATCCTCATTCATAATTGGTTGTTTCTTAAATCTAAATCATTAATTGTAAGTTGGTAACAATGCATTTTTGATGTAATTCAAATAAAACTTAGAAAGATGAATTGTGCATAGTTTATAAATGTTAATGTTCATTTTCACAGGATCATTATATTTTTTGTTTGAATTAATGGTTTTTATTCCTGAAAATTGATAGAATTGCATTCCAGATAAGTTATCTGGGAAGTAACTGTTAAGGGTACAGCAATGTGTTGTATATTATAGAAATTTATATTTTCATTGTAAGAGAGCTTTCAAATTTATTAGGATAATGATTTAGGCTGAACAGCAGAATGAAGAAGGCGAATCATATGATAATGAAGTAATTACCCATCGTTTGCGAGATGATGCTTTATCGAAAGTTGCAACTTTACATCGAAAAGTTGCAGAGGAAGTACGATTAAGTGGTACGGCGATACAGTATAAAGCTCATAGGTTAGTGTTATAGTTCCTTACATATTTTACTTTTATGAAATTTACTGGGAAATGTGTTTAGAAGAAAAATTGAAATTTGAATGACTGACTAAACAGTGATTGAATGAAAGGTATTAGGTTAATGTTATCGAAAGTGTTGAACATCTTTTTTATCACATTTTACCTCTTTAACTATTTATAAGTGAAGAGAACAAAAAATTAATAGAAAGGCTAGAGGCAGTGAAAAAAATTATATATATACATTGAATGAGTTTTGTTGTCGTTTGAAATTTATGTAATGCCAAATTTTAAGTTCTAGGTACTCAACCGTTGCAGTTGTCATATCACATGATGGTAGATATGTGGTGAGTTGCTCAAAAGATGCAACAGTAGCCAAATGTAAGTTTATTCGATAAAAAAATTTCACCATAATTCACTATATTTTCAAAGATTCCGATTCGTATTTTTTGATTTACTGATATTCTGATCCTTTGCCTTCAGCAGTAAATATAGGAAATTTTTGAATCATCTTTAAATTTGCCGTCAATATCAGAAGCAATCCTTTGAAATAAAATGTTGCCGAAAGTATTGAGTTTTATCTTAACTTTCAATATATTGTTAAGTGCGGCCATTAAAAAAAAGATAATGAAGAGAAAGTTTTTTGTGCCTATAACGATAAGCTAAAGTTTTATCATTAAAAAGAAGACGATATAGATACAAATATATAAATGAATTGTAGAAATGCTCATGTGTTCATTTTTTTTTTCTACTGTAATTTTTCTAGACGATTAATTTGTCTATTTTGTCGAACTTCGAAAATTTGGTCATTTTTCAGATGATTTAGAAGAAGGAAAGATAGTAGCTTCTATAAAATACGTGAAAGGAAATTGCACGTTTCATCGTGGTCAAATATTTTGCCTTGCAATCTCAGCTAACGATCGATATCTTGTAACTGGTGGTAGTGATGCTATTATACGAGTTTGGAATTTCAGCAATTTGCAACATGTTAAAAATCTTACCGGACATATGAATGCAATAACCGGTTAGTTTTTTGATTACCTTATGTAATTAATTTTCTGATCTTCTATGTACTTCATATTCTTAAATTCGTTGGATTTTTACTTTTAGTTTATATATATATAATTTTCGAAAATTGCATAATCGAAATTAAATTGATCTTTTATTATTTTGCAGGATTAGTATTTCGATTAAATACTCAGCAATTATACAGCTGCTCCAAGGATCGATATGTGAAATTATGGGATTTGGAACAACTAGGATACGTAGATACGCTATTTGGTCACGTTGATGCAGTAGTAGATATTGACGCTTTATCAAGGCAAATTTTTATAAAGTTTTAGATTATTTGAAAGTAAATTCAATTTCTATTATTATTTAATGTATGTTGCACTTCAAAAATTCACAACTTTTCCCTAAAATCTTAGAATTATTCAGAATTTAATGAAATCATAACACATTGTTGATTTAATTTAATGGTTTTAAAAAAAAGCAAAATATTTATTTACAGGGAACGTTTGATAACTGCAGGTTCTCAGGATCGTACGGTGAGATTATGGAAGGTACCTGAAGATAGTCATTTGATATTTAACGGTTATGCAAGTTGCTTTAGCATTGACTGCTTGGCACTTATCAATGAAGATCATTTTGTGTCCGGTTCAGCTGATGGGTTAGTTGTGCTATTATTTCTCATGCCAATTTGATTAGTGGTGAAAATCAGAATGGTTAAGTTTGATTTGTAATCATATAAATTAGGATTTGAATTAAGCTGATATAATTTTATCAGCGATCTTTAATGTTTGTTTTATTTTGGTTCATTAGAATTACTGAAAGATATAAGTGTTATTTTACTTTTTATTAGGAAAATTCTTTATTAGTTTTATGCTATTTTCAGAAGTTTATGTATTTGGTCAATATTTAAGAAAAAACCGGTTTGTACAGAATTGGAAGCACATGGTCGTGGTGCTGACAATCAGGCAAACTGGATAGTGTCCGTTGCAGCACGACGATACACAGATCTTATTGCATCGGGTTCATGTGATGGATTTGTTCGTTTGTGGAAAGTTGCGGATGATTATAAATCAATAACAAATATTTTATCTTATGAACAAGTAGATTTTTACTTTTTTTTTGTGCAAGCATAAAACTTAATTTTGAACTATTAAAAAGTTGAGATTATTTCTTAAAAAAAAAAAGGAAGGTAAAAGTAATTGATGGAGTATGGTCTATTTTAAATATTTTCAATTAGTTGAATAAATCAAGACAAGGAATGATAATGGTAAATAATTAAGTTAAAACTAGCATTTGGAATATATAGTCTTAAAAAGAAGAATTGTGACAAGTGTTTTTTTAATTCTAAATTTTAATTCTAGCTCTCAGTCGATTTAAAACATATTTAACATTAACATTTTTCAATCGAATTTTATAGATCTTTCATTTATTTTAAAAATCCTGCTCAAATTTGAACTTTGCTTTTTTTTTTAGAGCGGTTTTATAAATCGGTTGAGGTTTTCTGATGATGGTGAAGAAGTGGCATGTGCAGTCGGTCAGGAACATAAATTTGGAAGATGGTGGAAAATTGCTGAAGCTAAAAATGTTATTACAGTTTTTTCACTTACATATGATACTAAAGAATAGTTGTTGCAATGTTAAACGTCATTTTTATCGAATGTTAAATCATTGTACCTAAATGATTGAACTGTTCTTTCATTTGAGATAAAAATTTCATTCATAATGATAGAAATAAATTATCATTTTTTACGTTTCTTTATTGGTCGTTATTTTTAATCAGTACGATTCAGAAATTTTAGAAGTTTTTGCATAACTCCATTATTTCATATTTATTGCATTATCAAATGTTGAAATTGGGTCAAGAAATTTACTTTTTGGATTGAATCAATACGGATTCGAAAGAAAAAGAATGATGGAAGGAAGGATGAGAAAAGTTTGTAAAAGCATTTAGACTATGGGAAAATAATGCAAATTCCGTATCCTAAACATAATTTCGGTTATATTACAATAATTGTATTAGTTTTTTAATTGCTTTTTTTTTTGTTTCTTTTCAAACTTGAATATTTCAAATAATTTCTGCGAATTTACTTTTAAAATTTAACAAACGATTGAATTAAAATTTGTAGTATTCATTTAAAATTCTCATCATAAATTTTCTTTTGGAATAGTGATGTTCAAATATGTCTGAAATATTCTATGGTTTGGTGATAATAGATTGTACTAAATTTCTCCTTTTGTTATTCATTTTTTTTTTTTTTGTATTTTTTTGTGCTTTTTTGTTTTCGTTTTCGTTTTGTCAATTGTTGTTTTGCAATGATTTGACAGAAAACGGAGCAAAATTTTGAAATATTTTTATGTCAAATTAACAACTATGATTATGATGATTTCGGTTTACTTACTTACTTCACGGTTATTTGTTATTTTTTTAAGTTAATTATCATTTGTTTTTGTTTTTTTGTTTTTACATTGAGAATTATATTCTTTTGCAATTGATTATTTAAGAAATTGATGAATAACTACAATGGGCAGAGTTTCTTTTTCTTTTTTTTTTTTTTTATCATTCAAATAATATTTTGTGACATAATTTTAATTTGCTCATTTATATTAGAATTTAAAAGCACAACGAAAATTTCGACTTTTGCAAAAGAGAAAAAAAAAAGAAAGAAAGAGGAAGGGAAGATAGAGAAATGAATCTTTAAAATACTGAATTAGAGAGGAAATGGCTATTTGTCCTTCTTTTTTTCTTTTTGCACAGATTGCTCAGAAAACAATTTATTTTCCTTCGAATTGTAATTATTATTCGATTCTTACATTCATTTCCTTTTTTTTTTCTTTTCTTTTCTTTTCTTTATAACATTAAATTAGTTATTTATATTTTACATTGATTTATTGTTAGTCATACAAATTTTGTGTTATATTAAAATTTGAAATTTTTAGGTTTTTTTAATTTCATTTTGAATGTTATTGTTTGTTACTTGCTACTGTTATCATATAATCTACTGTTTGTTTGTATAATTATCAAACAAAATGCTCAAAATAAACAATAGTTAAAAATTTTTTTTTTAAAGCAAATTTCTGTTTAAACTCAAAAATGCGACAAATTTATTGCAATTTGCGCCGCTGAATAATTTTGAATTCATTTATGCTAATTTAATTTTAGTACACTACAGTAGATCAATAGTCGCGAATATTCATAAATTAATCATAAATGATTAATTGATCTGACTAAGATATGCAATCGGAACTCATTAAGCTGATAACAATATATGAAATAATTTAATTGAGAAAATTAAATTAATTAATTTAATCATTTTTTATATGAACTTAAAATTGCGCATATATGTATGAGAGGCATTCAAAATTATCCATTTAAATTTTTGCGAATTAATTTTGTTGCTGAAATTTCAAACTATTTATTTAACAGGTATAAACAGCACAGTTATTATTATTATTAGAATTAATTAATTTAAACTTGGTTATTAATCAAATTTTCGCAAATGTTTATTAGTTATGAATACAAACTTTTGCTGCCAAATAAAATTAAATTAAATCATTAATTGATGGTCAAATTTAAAAATATGTTTTCTCTTTTTTTTTGTTGAAAATTATATAACTTTTCATTCATCTCATACATGCTAGAAGTTTTAACAAATATTAATATCATATTTGCTATGCAAATATTACAATAATTAATTTTCATTACTGTTACAATAACAGTTAATCATAATTTCTAACAGCGATAATTTCAATTAATTAATTTTATTGCAATTTTTACAAATTAATTTATTTGTAAATTTATCGTTCACATTTTTTTCTTTCTTTATTGACAAACAAAATATTTATTCACAATGAAATATTATTTAGCATTTTTATTGAAAATAAAAAAAAATTCGTTCTAAACAACAAATAAGATAAAAAGATGGAATTGTATTTAATGTTTTTAATTAAATTTTATTCATTCAAATGAATTAATTCATAAAATTTTTGATTAATTTAAAATTTAAAAAAAAAAAAGATCAAAAAAAATTTTTTAATATGAATTATAACAAATTATGGTCGAATTTTTAGTAATTAGTTATATAATGAATAAATTATTGATTTGCTTCTTTCTTTCGTTTTTTTAGTTTTTTTTCGAAGCTTCAATAAAAAATTATTGTTTTTTTAAAATTGTTTATTGCAAATTTACTTAATTTATATAAAAATTTTTTATTTAAAAAATTTTTATTGTTTTATTTATCTTTTTTTATTAACATTTTGCTTTAATTAATTTGCATAAATTATTAAATTCAGATTTTTCAAATTTGAATTGATAAATACTATTTCAGCATATTACTTCAATTTCAATAATAAAATGATTTTATCAATTAACATATCAAATTCTTAGCGTTCTAATCTTTCGCTTACTGATAAAATATTATTAATTTTTCTGAAAATTCTGAAAAATTCACTAATTGCACTAATTTTTTTTTCCATACAATTTATTAAGAATACATTTTGATGAATTGAAAATTTTTCTTCTAATTGTACTAATGGATAAAATTTAAACTTACATCCGTCCATTAATTATTCAATAATTGGGCCACTGAAAGAGGAAAATGGATTATTATTATTATTATTATTATTATTATTATTATTATTATTATTATTATTATTATTATTATTATTATTATTATTATTATTATTATTATTATTATTATTATTATTATTATTATTATTATTATTATTATTATTATTATTATTATTATTATTATTATTATTATTATTATTATTATTTATATTATCGTTCATATATTATTATTATTATTATTATTATTATTTATATTATCATTCATATTATTATTATTATTATTTATATTATCATTCATATTATTATTATTATTATTATTATTATTATTATTATTACTATTATTACTATTATTATTCATATTATTACTATTACTATTATTCATATTATTATTATTGTCGTTATTATAAACATTATTATTAATCATATGTTGCATATATGATTCTCTTCAAAAAAATTGTGAATATTACTATATTATTATTGTTTATTTATTTATTTACTTACTTATTATTATTATCACTATCATTATTATTGATATTATTATTATAACTATAATGAAATGTGAGTGATAATCAGAAAAAAAGATTTTCCTCCATAAAAACAATAATAAAAAAAGCTTTATAGTAAAGATAAGAATCATTGAAATTTTTTCACTTTTTTTTTGTGTAAATTTCAATTTTATGCCATAAATATACCAATAAAATAAACATTTTCCGTTATTCTTTTTTGAATTTCTTAAAGTTATAAAAAAAAAAGAAAAATTTTTTTTTATTAGCTTTTCGTTTTCTTTTCTCGTCTTTTTCTTCTTTTTTTTTATGAAACGAATATGTTTTAACGTTTTCTTTTCTTCCTTTTATCATTCCATTCCCTCTCTCTCTCCCTCTCTCCCTCTCTCTCCCTCCCTCCCTCTCTCTCTCTCTCTCTTTTCCTATGCTAAACGATGAATTGAAATTATTTTGCTTAAAAAAAATGAAAAAATTTATTTTCATCAGTGATTCAGAATTGTTATTTGAAATAATAATATTGTAAATATTGAAATGTAAAAAATAAAATAAAAATAATTCAAACTTTTTAAATTTTTAATTTAATTTTCAATCATTTTTGTTTTGTTCAATAATAATTTAATTAAAAAAAGATAAACGAATTTTAATTTCAATTATATATATTATTAGATATATGTATGTTTGATTTTGCTTCTTTTTTTTTTAATTTCTTTAAATTATTGCCATAATCGATGTTTATTTTTAATTCGTTCTTTTCAGTTCATATAAAAATTTTAATACTTTAAAATTTTATTTCATTTTATGCTTACTTCATAAATCGTTTTTAATTTATTGTTTTAAAATACAATTGAACACCTGTTTGCTATTACATTTTTACTTCAAATTTATTGATGAAAATGCTAAAAAGAATTTTTGGTGATTCTTTTTTTTTCAGATTTTTTAAATAAAATTTTTCTAAAAATTAAATTTTTTAAATTTTTCATCTTTTTTTAAATAATTTAAAGTAATGCATAAAATAGCCAAAAGTGAAAATTTAGAAGAAAATAAAAATTTGTTATCTTTTTCATGTGATTTTCACAATATTTTTGATATATTTTTTAATTTTTTTTTTGTGCAATCACAAAAAAAAAAATTAATACTTTATTTTTCAATTTGTTTTATAAGTAATAAAATTCATAAGTAAATTTTCTAATATAAATTAATTTGATTAGATTAGATATAAGTAAATTAGACATAAGAAATTCTGATTTTCATTATATTCTTATTATTATTTTTTAATTTATTAAGCAAATAATTAAAGTTAAATTATTTGTGCTTAATATTTTTGAATTATTGAAAAGAAAGTAATTTTATCGAGTAAATCTATTAGTAATATATTTTATAGAGTAAGTAATGATTATAATTTTTTCAAATTATTTTTTTTTTTTTTAATTTATCCATCAAAAATTGAAATTTCACAAAAAAAAAAAAAAGGAAAAAAAATTTTTTTTTTTTCGCAGCTTATTAATCTTCTTCAAAAAAATTTCACTCCATTCTTTCTAACTTTCTTTTATTTTATC